TTGACTGGGCAGGGGAAGGGGGGGCATGGACTGGGGGGTGAGTTGGGATCCCGAAGTTCCCCGCCAGTCAGACGGCCGCGTCGGCTTGAGACGGCGCGACCAGGGAGTGCCAGTAGTGCCAGTAGATCTCAGATCTTGCGCCGCCCCAGAAATGCCTAAAGAGGTTAGAAGATGCGCATCTTGCCCCCCCTAAAGAATTTTTTTTAAGTGGATAACCTTTTCAAAGTAGAAAATCCCCAAAAGAGCTTGGCGGGCCACGGTGAAGCTGGGTGGTGCTATTTGAAGCCTTTGGCCATAAGTTGGGGTAGTTGCGTCTTTCCATATGTCAGGCGAAAGCGTCATCATGGTCAAGAGTCTTGATGTCATTTGCCGATAGAGAAAAGGGACATGCCCAAGACGAGAATATTCATTTTTCAGCCTCTGGGCGCCATTTCTTGGTTGGCTTGGAAGCAAGCAATACCCCCCCTGCCCGGCACTGTCATGGAAATTCCGGTGCGAGGAGGTGGGTTGACTGGGTCAGACAGGTGGTGACCTTGTGTGACGACGAGGTGGGCAGTGCTATCTGCACTGGCTCATCTTGTCTAAAATGACGTCGAGAAAATAGAAATCTTGGCGCCAGAAAGGAACAAAAATAAGACGACAGACACCCCGCAAGAGAAATGGAATGTTTACTGATAGCCTGCTGCTGCCGTGGACAGACAGGGCTGATTCAAGGCTGGAGTATCTGGGGTCCCCAGACCGCCGGCAGAGACATTGCAGATTAGGAGGACAGGAAAAAAAGGCTAAATTCTGGACGAGATGGCGCAAGCAAGTAGATTCGGCACTATCGAATGCAAGACGTGATAAACAAAGGAAAACAGGAAAACAGGCCAAGAGAGCTGAAAAAGAGGCGGCGTCTGTGGCGGCCCGTTTGTCGGTCTGGAACTCTCCCAACGGGACAAGCTGTCATGTACCACTTGGTCGGGTTGCGACAAGGCGGAGGCGGCGAGCACAACAAGAAGAAAAACAAAGAGATGAGACAAACCAAGATTGCGCTAAAAAAGAAGAGCTGCCTTGAGCAAGATGGGGTCAAGGGGTCCTGGAGTTATGACTCGAGGATAAACGAAGAATGATGAGTGATGCTGCGGTTTGTTGGCGGAAGAAACAAAAAAAAAAAAAGAATCGTTCCCAACAGCCGAGACATTAGGCAGTCGTACAAGCTTGGAGGGAAGGAGAGGGGGGGCCAGCCGCAGGCACTTAACGCTGCATGATTCTCGACAAAAAATCAACTTTATTTTCTATGCGGGGTCTTTTTCTTCCCCCTTATCTATGTTTGGTTGGATTTACAAAGGATGATGTGAGCAAGTTGTAAAAGAGGTGATGAGAATAGATGACGTATCAAGATGACGCCGCATGCTAATGGCACAATTGTGTTCCCGCACCAAATCTGTGCTATTATCCCTTCGATGCACAGGATCCCCCAACAAAGGTACAAATCTACGATCCGATGCCTTTTCCCCCCTCCTTTATCCGGTGCCTTCAAAAGAACCCATCGGGAGTTCATTACGCATCACATCACACAAAAATATCGTCCCATTTGACGGGCCACATTCGCTGTTTGGAGCCCGAACGATACCCCACATAACTCGTAACCTGGACCGCACCAGGAATCTAGAATTTGTGGAGGGGGATGATGATGATGCAGTTATCTCTTGTTACGAAGCACGCGGAATGCATCTCTGTCAAGCGGAGGACAAGAAGGAATTTGAAAAACTGTGGGGAGAAGAGGGCTATAATAACTGTTTTTGTTTGCCTCTGCAAGTGGGCTATTCCTGTATTGCGTGGTGTGGGCTTTTTTTTTTCTTTATGCGTCTGGGTTGTTTCTTCACGTCGTGGCGCAACTCGATTTGCTGGACTGCGTTGCTTGCAAAAGGACAACGAAAAGAACACCAAGGCGTTCGCTAGGAATCAGCCCGCTGTCAGACCCATACATGGTGTCCTTTTTGATTAAAAAAGGTTTGTCTCTACATCTTCCCTGGTGACTTGAGTTTGCGTGCGTGGTCGTGATATGGGGAATCATACGGCGCGACGGTCTGAATGACATGACACAGCGTCTCCCTGCTGCTACCCTGATACTCTGGCCGCATCACCAGCCATTTTTTTTTCTTTCTTTCGTTGCAACAATGAATGAGTCTATTGAAATCTGGACGATTCTATTTTTGCGGATACGAGCCATCGCAGAATGCTACTGAGTACGCCCGTCTGGCGGCTCTGCACCACTTCAATCAGAAGTCGACTTGCTCCCCCACAAATTCCGGGCCAATGGGATAACTTTGTTGGGATGAGCTTTTGTTCTCGATTCTCATCAAACAAAACGGCCCCCAATCCAGTTTCAAACGCCGTGAGCCGTTTTTTGCGGTAGACTTAAACAAGGCGGGAAGAAGAAGAGGCCGGATGCAACGCTGCGTGTCTGCTTCAATCAGTCAGCGCAATGCACCACTTAATCAAAGGAGCATGATACTATTAATCTTGGAAAAAATTTGCAGCTTCAAGGCCCATCATCCCGTCATGCAACGTCGACCACATCAACGCTAATGGTAAATAAGGCAAGACCTAGTCAAAAAAGGTCAAATTATGACATGCATGACAAAGGGCCTTTTTGCTTTCTGTTAATTTTGCCCTCTGTATCATCACCAGATGATGCAGCCTGGTGGCACTCTTCCCCGGTCATGCCCGTCCACCAAGGAGCTCATCCCAGCAAGTAATGGGATTGAATTGGGCCGACCCCGGGAAGGCCAGAACAAGGTGCCAAATGCACCAGTAGAGTGTCTTGCCGTCGATGGCCGCGGGCCGAGCTCCGATCAAACCCCTGCATTTTTTTTTCTTTTTCCTTTTCTTTTCCTTTTTTTTTCTTGTCAACAACGTCCCCTTCGCTTGAGTTCATCTTCTCGCACGAGGTCTGTGAGATTCGAAAACACGGGGTAAGATGATGACGATCCTGTGCACCTATTGTAACTTGCTCAATCGGCCCAGGCGAGGGAACGACGTCTGGCCAGTCAGAGCCCTGGTTTGGAGCGTGGGCGGACATGTTACAGGCGGGCTTATAGGGGCAGATGGCGGATATATAGGGGGGACTGTCAGGTACAGACGGCACCTGGAGGTGGGAGGGAGTGTCGACAACGGAGACCGAGACTTGGGGCTACCGCAATGGTACAAAGAACTGGCGGTGTTGACTCGTTGAGGTGGTCGTACCAGGCATGTCTCACCTGGCTTCCCCGTCCGTCTGTTTTTTGCTGGGAGAGATGGATGATGGAACGCAACCGGGGCGCAGCTTCCCCATGGGCTCGCCAATCCTGGGCCAAAGAAGGCAAAAAGACCCGAAACCGCCAGATGAGGGCCAGACTGCAGAGACGATGGTGTCGTCTCCTTCATTTCTTTTTTTTTATTCTTTTTTTTTTTCGTCTTTCTACTGCGCTGTTTTGTTGCGGTCTGGCCGACAGGGTACTTGCTTCTGTCGCAACCATCCATCTAGCCATCCATGCATCCCAATTCCATGCTATCAAAACCCATCCTGAAAGATGCCTGACCTGGACCATTTTGCCTGGGTATGTACTGATATGTGCTCCAATAAAATAGCAGTACTCGGTACGAATACAAGGCGGCAAGTAGTTGTGCTGGCTGGAATGGGCGGCCAATCAGTCCCCAGCACGACAGGAGCACCGCTCCGCCCTTTGCGTTGCTGCCTGGCCACAAAAAGCGCCCCCGGGCCAGCCTCTAGAGTTACTTTTTGGCGCGCGGAGCAGGAGAGATGTTTTTTCCCTCGTCCAGTGGAGAAGGCATGCGAAATCTCACCTGAGAATCCTCGTGAGAAGCCCGCCGTAGTGCCGAAGGGGACGGTATCACTGGGGAGAAGGGAGAAGGAGGTGGTGGGGGATGGGCCGGAGGAGAGGGGGGAGGGGGTGTGTCGGAAAGAATTTTCTACTTGGGTTATCTTTTCTGCTGCCAAACTGCTAGCACTCTTCCAGGGCTCGTTCTGGCGTGCTGTTGGGCTCGTCCATCTCACTGGATGACTGGATGATTGACTGGGCTGGCTGTCTGGCGCTCTTCTGGGGGGCGTTGGCGCAATCAGGTCCTCATCCGCCCACCATTTTCTGCTATCAAAGCCCCTAACCCCAGGGCTGTGCAGTTGCACACTTTTACTTCCCCAGGACAAGCTCCAGCTGTCTCGGACAGTGCTGCGTGGCCCCAAAAACTCCACAACCCACCACGAATGCCGCAGTCGTCTCGCCCCAGTTTTTGGGCTTTGGGGGGTGTGTGAATGGGCACCCAGGGAGGGGCGTGCACAGCCTAAACTGCGCCTGCAAAAAAAAAAAAAAAGAAGAAACAGAGACTCTGCAAAAAGGTACCTGACCTCAAACGCCGACATGTACCTCGCACGACTCCCGCTGCCTTCCTCCCGCCCACCCCCTTCCCCGAAGCATCTGCTGAGGACCGCTGTAGGGCTCCTTCAGCGTCCCCTCTAGGACTGCGGTGGGCCGCAAGCATGTGCCTGCTCCAGCCTGTGCCATTGCGGTACCTCTGAAGCCTCTCCAAGGTGTACCCGTCACCCCCCGAACCCGCCTTTTATAACCTGTCCCTCTCCCCCATCCCCTCGTGCAGAAAAAAAAAAAAATTAAGATTCCGTTTCTTTCCATCCAAACTCACTCCAGCATCTCACTCGCCAACATTACAACGCACGCTCTCCCAACATTCGTTTTCGCACACGCTTCGAAACAAAACTCAACATTCGACAGCAAGACGTCTGATCTCATTTGATTTCGAATTGCTTTCGGCAACGCCGCAGACTCTGCTTCGCATCTCCTCCGCATAACTCGTCCCCGCAAATCGTTGGGATCTGCTCGCCGCACATCGATCACATGCAACGAGCAAAATCAGCGGTCGAGATCTCGAGTCTACTTCACCAACAACAACAACCCCTGGGCCCTAACTCGACCAGTAACCTTCGTCGAGGTGACAGAGACATGGCTTCCGCCGCCGTCAGTATCATCAAGCCCAACGGCCCTCTACCTACCGCCCAGGCTGCCGAGTCCACCAGCACTACGGAGCTGCCTCGTCCTTACAAGTGCCCTCTGTGCGATAAGGCCTTCCACCGCCTCGAGCACCAGACAAGACACATTCGCACCCACACTGGCGAGAAGCCTCATGCTTGCCAGTTTCCCGGCTGCTCCAAGAAGTTCTCCCGCTCCGATGAACTAACAAGGCACTCGCGAATTCACAACAACCCCAACTCTCGCCGTGGTAACAAGGGCCAGCAGCAGCAGCATCACCACCACCAGCATCCCGTCCACCACGCTCTGCCTCTACACATGCATTCGGAGGGACTCATGGCTCCTCCCCCGGCTCCCAAGACGATTCGTTCGGCTCCCACTTCCACTCTTCACTCCCCCAACGTTTCGCCGCCTCACTCGTTTGCCTCGTTTGCCTCTCCCCACTCTGGTGCTCACCACTACAGTGACCGTCGCAGCGGCGACATCTCCATGCTCGCCAAGGCCGCCCACCAGGTCGAGCGCGAGAATCTGGGCCACGGTCACTCGGCTCGTCATCACCCTTACTACAGCAACGGTACTCACCACCCTCGCGGCAATCCTGCTGGCCTAAGCTCTTACCACATGTCAAGAAGCCACTCGGGTGAGGACCACGGCGACGATCACTACCACAGCTCGCTCCGCCACATCAAGCGCTCGCGTCCCAATTCGCCCAACTCTACCGCGCCTTCTTCTCCCACGTTTTCTCATGATTCTCTCTCTCCCACTCCCGACCACACGCCTATCGCTACGCCTGCGCACTCGCCTCGCCTTCGTCCCTTCTCCGGCTACGAGCTGCCCAGCCTGCGCAACCTGTCTCTGCAGCACGCGACTCCCGCTCTGGCTCCCATGGAGCCTCATCTGGAGACGCCCACCTTTGCTCCGATCTTGCACCAGAGCAATACTCAGCGCAGCAACGGCATGTCTCTTACTGACATCCTCAGCCGCCCGGACGGCAATCAGAGAAAACTTCCCGTACCCCAGCCTCCCAAGGTTGCCGTGCAGGATCTTCTCTCGGAGGGCTACAATGCCCACAGCGGTCGTAGCTCTGCTACTGGCAGTCTCGCCGGCGGCGACTTGATGGATCGCGCTTAGGAGCCGCCTCATACCCGCCGCGACGACGATTTTACGAATTGGGAACATAGACGGTTAAAGGATAGACACTGGCGTTTACGGCTGTACACGGACAGGCGCTTCCCTTCTGTACCGGCAGTGCCACAGAGAGAGGTTGCCACGTCGCAGGTGTACAAATCTTGCTTTTGAATTGGTCTTCCATTTTTCTTCGATTGCTTGCGGAAACTCGCATTCCTTGCGTAACAAAAACATTGGGACAAACCGGATAGGAACGAATTAGGGACGAAACGGATATAGACATCACCACTTCCTGGCGCATTTATACTGTTACTTTTAGCTTATTTTTCTCTCTGGCTGCTTAAGCAAAGGGATAATATTTGGACTACTTTTTATGGACATGGATAAACCCAGCGCACCCTCAGTAGGTAGCGCCAGACAGACAGGCAAACAATACACTTATATGACAGGCACTTTATAAACATGGAGAAACCCAGGGTTCCCTCTGTAGAAAGCGTCGGTCAGACAGCCAAACAATACAGACATGGTAGGCACGCCCTTGTTCGGCTGATGACTGTGACTCGTCGACCCATAACAGCCAATCTGGGCGCAAGCAAGCACACGCAACACCTAGATGGGCACAGCCACCCTCGTCCACGCAGGCAGGCACACACACGGGTTCTCAATTTCTCACAGAAAAGAAAAGTACAACCCACAACGCCCACTAACGCCCATAACGCCCACTCTTGCTCGCCTTGTCTAGCTAATCTGTCCTGTTGAGCATGTGCATGATGAAAGTAGACTAGTAGAAAACGTGGGCAGCCCACGGGGTGGCAGTGTGGAGGTCAGACGGTCGGACCCATCCATCTCATGGGCCGCCGCGCGCGCGCGCCCAGCATCTCGGCCCCAGCGCTCTCGCCGCACCACTCGCTCGTTGCATGTCGTCATTCGCCAACATTTTCCCGAATTTCGGCAAAGGGAAGGGGGGGGGGGGGGGGTTTGACGACCTGCGCTGGTATGGAATTGCCTAGAAAAAACCGACAAGGATTGATTTACGGGAAGGGGAAAAGAGGGGTGGGAAAAGTAGCAGCCAGTTGTGGAGTTTTCAAACATCAGGTTGTCGGGGAAGAAAAAACAGGCCATGATGATGTTTTTTTTTCCCTTGTGCCGGTGGGAAGAAGAACGATATGATGCAGCAAGTTGACAGGTATCGGATGGGATGGATAGAACGGACGGGGGAATGGCGGGGGCGAAGGCAAACGGGGCATGCAGAGTTGGGAGGGCCGGCACGGGGATTGAAGGAGAGCGTAAAATGGTGGTGGTAGTGGTGGTCGTTGAGGGTTGAGCCGATGACAGGCGGAAGACGGACGACCGGCTCAGAAATTCGTGAACCTGGGATGCTGCAAGGCTTGCAGAATCAGACTAAAAGGTCATTATGCGAAGGTAGCAAACGGGAATAAAGAGAGACGCATAAAAAGACGAAAAAGCTACTTTGGCAGGCAAGATTGAAAATTGGCAATCAATGTATTACGTTTACAGTACGTAGAGGCATTGCCCTTGTGGCCCCTCCCTCTCCATCTCATGAGCCGACCTATGCAGATGAAGAGATACTAAAACAACGTGATTTTGCGAATAAGTGGTAGCAGCGCTCCTTGATGCATGGTGGCGGTTTATATTCGAGGACGCGTCTCTGTCTTTTGTTTTTGGCTTGGCTGCATTCTCTCCTTCTTCTTCTTCCTCCACACACACACACACACACACACACACACTATTTACTTCAGTGCCGTGCCCCTCATTAATTAATAGGATCAGCGCGTTCTTATCCAGATCGGCGGCATCGTTCTAGACGGCTCGGCTCCTAGTCCAAAGAACTTTTTTGGGTCAACGTAGATGTGACACCACTTGGCTGTCGTCTATTCTTTTTTTACTTTCTTAAAACGAGTTGAAACGATTGCCTTGGATTCTGGAAATGCAACGTCAATTATAGAATATGAGGAGGACATTTTTCTCTTTACAATACAATCGTTTTTTTCTTTTTCGGCTGACTAACAAGAAGAAAGTGGCCATGTTTTATCAAAGAGGCGCGCCGGCCACTTGTGTCCCACAGACTGGAAATCTGGGGGAGACAAGCTGAGAAAAAAGCTATTTAATTACAAGGCGTCTGCTTTTTCATACGTACCGGTATAAAGGACGCCTGCTATGGCCCGGCACGTCCTCGGCTGCCGAGCGGCAGGCTTCGGAGCTCTTCCACACCGAGGGCCAATGTCGGTAAATTTGTGCCAATGTACACTGCGGCTCGGGGAGAAAAAAAGAGGAAGAATGGGGGATCGCGATCTGCCGTTGAACAGAGAGCAAGTCCTTTTTTAAAAAATGTTTTTACTTCTCTCCACAGAGCGAGGAGCCGTTACCACATGCGCTCTATTCAGTTAGTTCAATGTACATGCCGTCCTCGTACATGCCGTCCTTGTACATGCCCTTGGTCTTGCCACTAATAAAGTATATCAACGCGTGGCTGTCCATAACAAGACGCTGCATATAACCCATACATGTTTAGGCCCCAGGTACCTCCCTCACCCTTCTTTCGAAACGGTCTTTTTATTTTATTTTATTATTTTATTTTTATTTTCGTACTTTTACTTTTAGTGGCCCTTGGCCACTGGCCCATGCGGAGGTGGCGCGGCACAATGAAGGGTTGCAACTGGCACTTGTGTCTGCGTCTGGCCGTCGGTGAAGGAGACAAAAGCTGGGGAAGAAAAAGGTGAAGGGGGGGGATTGCCACCAGTTGATGGCGGCGCGTGGATATTGCACGATTGGCAAGTACTTATTTTGGCTGTAAGCATCGAAAGTCGGAAGCAGCTGGCGAATAGCAAAGCGAGAGGAGACGGATTTCTTCATTGGGAACCTGCGACTTGCTCCATCTTGTACAGATTATCTAATTCTGTAAATGTTTTTTTTTTCTTCTTGTTTCAAAACTTCCTCACTTCAATGAAACTCTGACATAAAGTAAAGACAAGTACACATTTGTCTCGCCTTGATTACAGTACGCTTACGCTCATGATCAGCACCCCTTGCTGCTTTTTTCGCTATGTCTTCAGATTTCCCGTAACTAGTGTGGGGGCTTTCCGGGGTCCCTCCCGTAGCGGTCTCACCACTCAGGAAAAACAATGTCTAAAGAAGAGCATACCGCCTTTCAGATTGGGAATTCGTCAAATGTGTCGAGCTGACCGCCATTGCATTTCAAAATATGCGCGACGGACGACCTTGACCTTGGCAGGAATACGCCAAGGCCATTCGGGAAGCCCGTTGGCGTGGGTTGCGTTTTGGTAGTGAAGCATGATGATTGATGCCCGTTTGCTGTAGTTAGCTCGGCCAGCGTTTGATTTTATATTTTATTTTTTTTATTAGCTGTATGCAGGTAAACTGGCATTGCTTCGGCTACGCAAGAAAGCGGAGGGGGGATACCTCGTACACAAAATACTTTAGATAGTCACCCGCTCTCAGCTCAGGCTGAGAATTAGGCTGGATGGTGGTTGATAGCAAGGGTCTGAAGGTGTCATGTCGTCGAAGGCGGCGCGCATGATGCTCATTTCGACCTAGCTAGCCGCAAAAGTTTGCCCCCCCGGACAGCTCAAGATGGTCATTACTAACGGGCCGGGGTCGATGGCAGCCACGGCATCCGAGGGCCAGCTGCCTTTGCGAAGCCTCTCCCTTTCGGCCAACGCAGCACGTTGCCAGCGAAGCGAGGCTGTAATCTGCTAGTATGATTCTCGCCATATCACTGGCTCGAAACCCTTGCAAGCCACGAAAAATCTCTAGTGCGTCTACGGATTAGCTCCGTCGTCGTTCACGGATAGATTATTTAGGACCTTTTCTGTCTTTTTTGACAGAACGGGAGTGTCTTGCCGACCCGCCTTGTCGTTGTCCACAGTCATTCTGCTTTTGGTCATCGGGCAGCAAATCGAGCTGATTGGTGCTCATGGCCTGGTATTGAAGCAGAGAGCAACAAGGCCGCATTGACCGGGAAGGGTAACGACGCGAAAAAATTAGGGGGCAAAGTTCGATTCAAGAGGGCAACAAGACTTGGAAGAGTTGCCGCCGTGTCGAGTCTACCTTTTGTGACCACTCATACCAGCTTCTCGGGGCGAATAGTCCGTGGCACGAATGATGTCTTCTTCTTTGCTTGAGCTTCTACATGTGCTCACGGCAATCTTTCTATCAGTAGACAAGTACAGTTTTGTTGCTTATCTTGATTGATAACGCTCGCTGCACGTGTACGCCACGGGATAACGACAAGTAAAAAAATGTGTGGGGGTGGAGATGCATATCAGTAGGTAGTCAGTCTTGGTAAGGAATCGCAAAGTCAGTCTTGGTAAGGAATCGCAAAGACAAGAAAACAACAAGGCGTCGGTGGCGTCGAAAACATGTGAAGAGAACGGTCGAGATTTGATGATCAATGTTTATCATGGGGGCGTGCGTGGCGAATATCCGTCTTTTTTTTTTGGTATACCTTTCGCCCATGACGCTTAGACAGTAAAACAAAAGACTAGAAGCTAAAAATCTAGTCGGGAGCTTGTGGTCAACCGGAGTTTCTGGGGAATAGGACTTTTACTTGCAGTAACTTTGATGGCGCGGCAAGGGGGGGTGGTGTGGATGTCGACCGATCCGAGGCAGGATGATGGGTTTATCTCGAATTGAAAATGAGACCAAAGAAAAAAAAAAAAAAAACAAAAAAACGGGCGCCCAAAGATAGCAAGGTGCCCGCTTCCTTGCAAGCTTTGATAGCGCCTTGGCTTGTGAGAATTTCATCTTTGGGCCTTTTGGCTGCTTTTTTGGTGTCTGCGAAAAGGACCGACCAATGGTCGGCTTCCCCGAGCTTTGCGTCTCCCCCCTCCACCCCCCCAGGAAAACGGGGAATTCGCCTCGCTCAACCGAAACGCCCCTCAATGCCTTTTCTGGGGAACATGTTTGTTTCGTCAGCACTGCCGACGCCACCCAATTAGATACGACGGAGAGGATTGATGACATCAAAATACGTGCAAAATCGCCCAAAAATAGGGGGACGCATTTTTGATCCGTGTATATTGTAAGCCAAGGCCGACGGTCCATCGTGAGGCGGGTGAGCAGCCAAGTATTGGAACGGCAATCAATAAAAGGATCAAGCCCAAGTTCCATGTACGATGAATGTAACCCTCTTGGCCCTCCTCAAGGTGACAACTGGGGCGGGCCTCAATATAGATAAAGTGCCCCGACCATGATCCCATTGCTCGACCATTTGCTTGAATGGCACGATTCGGACGGATCTGGATAGAAATTCTCAACATCGTCGCCGCTAACTCTGACGCATGCAGACAATAGCTATGCTTGGCTGATTTCCTTGGCTGCACAAAAATGTCCTGTTGTTTTGTGTTACGCTTACACGGAGCACGGTTTTTTGTACCCTTTCTTGCTGCGCCATCAAGGTAGCAAGCCTAGCATAGGCCCAAACGTCATCTCGGTGATCACCCGAAACGGCTACTCCAGACCCAAGGGGGTGAGAAAAAAAAGAACTTCGAAAAAAAACAAAACAAAAAGAGAGATAAAAGATTAGAAAGAGGATTGCAACCCAATGGCCCGCTGCCTGGGCAATTCGGGCGTAAAGAGGGAACGATGCGCTTCTTCGGGCAGGGTCAGGGACCTTTTTCTTTCTCCCTCTTTTTTT